TTAGAAAAGAAGAAACAAAGAAAAAGAAGAGGAATAAAAAAATGGCATAGGAAATAGAGACGATACAATAAGGATATGTTATTAAAGTGAATAAAACGCTTCCATCTCAACCCAAAAAACAAGGTTCCATAAAAATTTCATATAAGTATTAAGATTAAGCATGTGATCTATCAAAATATTACCTCATATTTTGTAAGATGGCGTGGTTATATGAAGTCTGCTCCTCTTCAAATATTACATGTTGCAGATCCGTGTATGACAATAGTGGTGAATCAAGGTTGATAAGAGACAAGGCTGGCAAAACATAAAGGGGAATTTCTTTTCTTACATACTCTGCACCACTGCCACCAAATAAAAGCCATTATTATAAAACCCAAGATTAAGAAGTCTACATTGTCAACCTCATGAAAGATGAAACATGGTTTGACCTGACCAATCATAATACAATGAAGACAAAAAAAAAATGTACCAAAAAGTTGCTCTATTGTTATAACTTCCATTTATCATTCAAAGTTTAACAAACATACAAACATATTGAGAAGCATCCACAGAATGTTAATCTCCACCTCCTGCATGATTATAATTCTTGGTAGAAAATTTATAATGTACCAAGTTTTTAAAGGCTTGTCAAACATACTTGGTGCAAACTGCAAATGTGCAAAGGAAAGGGTCAAATAACCAATGGCAGCAAAAGGATCACTGAGGAGCATTAGAGGTGATTTTTCTAAGACAGGCTGGAAAGTTCAAACAGAAACCAATATTGTTCACAAAAAAAAAAAAATGGATATTAGGGTCTTCCCTTATTCTTCCTCATATATTTCTCCATTGACAAGTACTTTGCTGCTATATATACTGACCTTTAACATCTAGTCACCTGAGATTTGAAGCTTTAGATATGAAACAGCATCCAAATCCCAAAAATAGGCTTAAACTATTTGGTCAATAAACAACAAAAATATTAGCGGTCAATTAAACCCTCATCTATACCTCATGTCCAAATTTGAACGATGCATAGCCTCCTGCATACTTTCTGACATATCCATGGGATCAACATCAACTATGTTCATGACTGAATTGCTGAGATGGTAGTTTCCTCCACCTTTTTCTCTCCCTAGAGAGTTGGCATCAGCATTAGCAAAGAAATTTCCCAAGCCGGAAGATCTCCCCCCACCCTAGCCAAAATATATAATTACATAAATTAAAGGTGTTTGAAGTATTACAGCAAGAGACATTAAGTTTAGAATGCTCAACAGTGTTATCTCCAGCTTAGGAAACCCTGAAGATAATGCAAGCTATTGGTCTCCGACTCATATGGACCCAAATAACTATGCTTTCACCTATTGGACTTATATGTGAACATACTGTTAGATTATATTATTAATATATCCAACATAAAGTAACCAGAACTTACTGATACATTCTCTGAGGAACTTGGTGAGGAATCTATATCAATAACGGAGCTTCTATTTACAGGAGACAGAGGTATAGTTCTTGACATATGATTCTGCTTCCCGTCAGATGACTGGAAAGCAATTACTTGAATTCTTCCTACTACCTGAATGCAGTCCAAAGCTATTTTAACGTTAGATTTAATGAGACCATAGAATATAAGATGTTGCACAATGATCATGCATTCAAGACAAACCTTGTTACATACTTTAACAGGAAAAAATCAACCCAATAAACCCAGAATCAAGAAGTTGATACATTGCCTGAGTCCGCACATCTACAAAATAGTACAGATTAAGCATGTAATCTATCAAAATATATTACCTCATATTTTGTAAGATTGCCTGATTAAGTATTAAGATATATAGAGAAAGAGAGGAAGAAGAAGAAATGGGAGATAAGAAAGGTAAGGGAGAGAGAGGATTTGACAAACATTTCTCATGATTTTCATTACTGTTGTCCTATTATTTATATACTCACCAAGGAGTTGCAACAGAAAGCTAGTAACAAATTCAAAAGGGAAAATTAATAACATCATAATAGGGAAAATAACATGGTGATATGATATTGCATGGTCATTATAATTGCTATGTTATTATGGTTATGCTCATGTTCCTGACAGTCCAACATCGCCTTGGCTAGTATCGTTACATTTGCATACATGCTTTGAAAGTATGAACGACAGCGTGTTAAGTGTCAAGGTGCGTAGCATGTTAAGTGTCAGCTTTTCTGATACGTAGCCATACATGCTATGTTGCATAGCATATTATATGTAAGTAGCTCAACAATCCAACGATTTTTTTTATTTTTTATTTTTGGTAAACACAATCCAGCGATTTTAATCTAACAAATTCACCAATCCTAAAAATAATTAATTAACAGTTAAAGAATAATTTAAATTAATAAAAGTAAATTAAACTAAATTAATTAACAAACATAAATTACATTTAATTCATTAACACTCCTAAATTAAATTAAATTACTTAACAGTTCTGAAAATAATTAATTAATAGTTCTAAAATAATTTAGATTAATATAAACTAAGTTAATTAACAGACATAATTTTAATTTAATTCATTAACATTCTTAAATTAAATTAAATTACTTAATAGTTCAAAAAAAGTTTAACTTAACATAAACTAAATTAAATGAAATTAATTAACACTCCTAAAAATAATTAATTAACAGTTCTAAAATAATATAAATTTATAAAATTAAATTAATTAACAAACATAAATTAAATTTCCTAAATTAAATTAAATTACTCAACAGTTCAAAACAATTTTAACTTAACGTAAAATAAAATAAATTAAATTAATTAACACTCCTCAAATACTTAATTAACAACTCTAAAATAATTTAAATTAATATAGACAAAATTAAATTAAATTAATTAAAAAACGTAAATTTAATTTAATTCATTAATAGTCCTAAATTAAATTAAATTACTTCGCAGTAAAAAATAATTTAACTTAACATAAAATAAAATAAATTAATTAAGAAACATAAATTAAATTAATTAACACATATAAATTAAATTAAATTAGTAGTCCTAAATTAAATTATTTTAACATAAGTTATTTAAAACTAAAATATTCAAACCAATAATAATTTCCTTAAATCATTTTATTTCAAAATACAAATTTCAATAATTAAAATTATCCTATAATTTATTAGACCACAATGATGCAAGAAATGGGAAGGGAAATGGTAAAATGCTGAGCTAGTTACACATAATATGTTATGCAGCACAACATGTATGGCTATGTGTCAGAAAAGCTGACACATACAATGTTTTGTAGCATAACGAGTTTGACACGCTGTCTGCCATGTAATCTTGTTGCATTGTGCAGCAGCTTACGTGGCCATAAACATGTTGCCACGTGTTCATACTTAACTCGTTAGATATTGTAGAGAGTTACGTGTCGTGACATGGCATTTAAAAAAAAAATTCGATTCGTGGCATTCATGTAATTTTTTGTGAATAGTGTGGCATTTTGATCGTTGTCCCTAATTTTTTATTATTATACTATTTTAATTATTTTGATACTTATATATATTTATTTACTTATTATTTTTATTATTATTTTATTTCATACATATGTTAATATTATTATTATTTTTTTATTTCATATACATATTTTGAATATTACAAATAGCAATGTGGTTACTGCAGTTTAGACAAAAGTATTTCTTTTACATAATTGTTCTTTTCTGTTTGAGGATCAGCTGCTTCAATAACAATGTGTTTGCCAAGGAAGCACGGACACTTGTAAAAACAGGGAGAGTCGTGTCCGACACGCTCCGACACGGTGTCGAACACGCGGTCAAATTTTTTCGACACATTGACCATTCCGACATGCGAATTTGACCATGTCTGACACGGTCAAATGGCATTTTTGTAATTTTTTTAATTTTTAAATTATTTTTAAAAAAAAATTAAAATATATTAATAAAGCTTCCACCTGATCATATCAATTTTAATTTTTTGTCTTTTTTTCCCTTAAGTAGATAAGAGATCATCTCAGCATCATTGTTGTCAATTCCTATCACGCTCTTGCTGTATCTCCTTGTCTCTGATCTCTCTCTAATATGATTTGATCTCTCTATCTGATATTATATATCTCTCTCATCCCAGTTCTAATTTTTTTTATTAAAGCTTCAATCTTTATAACGTGTTGATGGGTATTATTAATTTTGTTTCATTTTTTTGTTAAATTATTAAAATTAAATGTATACACTATATAAATTAAAAATATTATTTAATATTAAAACGTATCCCAACGTGTCGAAATCCATAATTTTTTAAGATTGACGTATTAAAGTGTCGTGTCGTGTCACGTGTCGTATCGGTACTAGATAGGTGTTTGCTGATTCAATTAAGGATGGACAGAGCTGCAACCAATTTATAAACAGAGACTTTGATGCACCTGAGTTAGTTTATATGGGCTTTTAGGTCTATAACGCTTAGTGGGCCAACCTAGCCACTGAAAAATAACTCGTTTTTTACAACTCTAGGAGACAAGACCCGGACTTCTTGAGTCATGTGAATTATAATGTTGTACTCAAAGAAATATATTTAAGTCATTAGGTTTGGTTTAGTGATATATATTTAATTTATATATTTAATTTTCACTTCTATCAAAAAAAAAAAAAAAATTAATATATGTGCCTATTGCAAGCTCACCGGTAGAGGGATTTTTTTTTAATTTTTTTTTTGTACTATAAAAGAATCAATGCTTTACAGAATTATTATTGTCAAAATTTATATTTATAATTTATTTTATTTTATTATCCATTTTGATCAATTAGCTATCCTATAAGATATCACTAGTCATTAACCTTCTATTTTTTTTTTGACAAAAATCCATTTTCAAACACGTTTAAAAGTACCAACAAAGATATCGAGGTCACACTACTATACATAACAACTAGTCTTTTTTTTTTTCTTTTTTCTTTTTTCTTTTTTCTCTCCCTCATCATTTATCCCTGCTTTAACCTCTCCATCAACAGATGGATCAGGGTCAATCGGCTGTGAACATCCTCTAATCCAAGCATGCATGTCATTTGACAAGTTCTTCAAAGTGAATGAAATATCAAACCACCATTTTTACTCTATAGTAATAGACTCCCACTAGCAGAATATTTCATTTAGCATCCTTTTCAAAATAGCAAACTTTGCTGAGGCAATACCATTTTTTCATGTACATTTTACGTATTAAATATCCCATCTTAGCAAAACCATCATAAATCGTTACTTCCAAAGAGGGTTTCCCTTTAATATCCTTTTCTGCTCCGGCTACCTGGACTACCTACACTCCTAGAACCAAGAGATTCACCTGAACTGTGCAAGTTTCTCTGACCAAGAGAGGAACTTCCTCGATGTACATGAGATGCAACTTGACGGGGAGATCCTAAACTTGCTTCACTCCCTCTACACGCCTCAGCCTCCAGACTTTTAGCTTCATCACTCAAAACTGCTAGCTGTTTTATCAAAAGCACAAGTGCAAAACATAGTTAAAAAGGATTTAAAATTTGTTGAATTGTGGACAAAGAGATCTCAAATTGGCTTTATCATCAAATAACTTATGAGGAAGCTTAAGAAGCAACTACATCTTAAGCTACAAAGAACATAATAGGCAAGTTATATCCCAATCCAAATTAGGGCATTATGTAAAAAAAACAAAAAAAGGCCGACCCAATTCAAGACCCACTCCGTGAGTGTCTGGGGAAGGAAAATTTGAGTCAAGCCTCACCCCTGCTTTGCAGGGGGGCCGAGTCGAACCCCTGACCTGGAACACCACTGTAAGCAAGCTTACCGCTGAGCCAGGCTGGCCCTTCAGGGGCATTATGTAAAAAAAAAAAAAAAACCACATAGGACAAGGAAAAGAGGATTTGAAAATATATATCCAAATTCCCTGAACTTGTGGAAACTGGAAATATGGTCGGTCAAAGAAGTCTATCATGATGCAACTAAAAAAGTTGAAATATACCCGGATTTCATTCTCTCTCAGTCGATCTTGAAGTGCATTTATTGCGGGACTTAAACTGTAAAGTCAGGAAGTAGTAATTGTTAATTAGAAAAGAAGAAACAAAAAAAAAAAAAGAGGAATAAAACAAAAAATGGACACTTAATCTGACCAATATTCAATCAACTTGCACAAGGAAGCCTGATAAGTTGAAGTGTGATGTATGAAAGTGAGTGGATGAACTTTCCCATCCCTACAAACAGATGGCATAGGTAATTAGAGACGATACAATAAGGATATGTTATTAAAGTGAATAAAACAAGGTTCCATAAAAATTTCATATAAGTATTAAGATTAAGGATGTAATCTATCAAAATATTACCTCATATTTTGTAAGATGGCCTGGTTATACGCAGTCCGCTCCTCTTCAAATATTACATGTTGCAGATCCGTGTATGACAATAGTGGTGAATCAAGGTTGATAAGAGACACGGCTGGCAAAACATAAAGGGGAATTTCTTTTCTTACATACTCTGCACCACTGCCACCAAATAAAAGCCATTATTATAAAACCCAAGATTAAGAAACTACATTGTCAACCTCATACAAGATGAAACATGGTTTGACCTGACCAATCAAAATACAAAGAAGCCAAACAACAAATGTACCAAAAAGTTGCTCTATTGTTATAACTTCCATTTATCATTCAAAGTTTAACAAACAAACATATTGAGAAGCATCCACAGAATGCTTATCTCCATCTCCTGCATGATTATAATTCTTAGTAGAAAATCTATAATGTACCAAGTTGTTAAAGGCTTGTCATACATACTTGGTGCAAACTGCAAATGTGCACAGGAAAGGTCAAATAACCAATGGCAGCAAAATCATCACTGAGGAGCATTAGAGGTTATTTTTCTAAGACAGGCTGGAAAGTTCAAACAGAAGCCAATATTGTTCACACAAAAAAAGGGATATTAGGGTCTTCCCTTATTCTTCCTCATATATTTCTCCGTTGACAAGTACCTTGCTGCTATACAGACCTTTAACACCTAGTCACCTGAGATTTGGGGCTTTAGATATGAAACAGCAGCCACCATGTTCCCTTATGTTGCAAGGGGACATGAGGGCATCCGAATCCCAAAAATAGGCCTAAACTATCTGATCAATAAACAACAGAAATATTAGCGGTCAATTACACACTCATCTATACCTCATGTCCAAATTTGAACGATGCATAGCCTCCTGCATACTTTCTGACATATCCATGGGATCAACATCAACTATGTTCATGCCTGAATTGCTGAGATGGTAGTTTCCTCCACCTTTTTCTCTCCCTGGAGAGTTCGCATCAGCATTAGCGAAGAAATTTCCCAAGTCAGAAGATCTCCCCCCACCCTAGCCAAAATATATAATTACATAAATTAAAAAGAAAAAGAAAAACACAAAATGAAGCATTTTTATCCTGTAAGAAAAAATACAAGCATAATTTTACTGATAGGACAACCTCAAGGGACTTGTCCTCAATAAACATTCATAAAATACACTGTTCAACATGATAGACATGTGTCTATTCACTGATTTAGATATGGAGAAAATCAACACATCAAATAAAGCATTGGACACTAAAAAAATACATGCAATCTTATATTAATATTTTAACATAAATAACTTAACATTAAAAAACTGTCTCCAGAAAAGCAAGAGGTTTGTTTAAAAGTCAAGACAGAAAAGCATAAAACAAACAGAAATGTACTTTAACAAAGAAAAATCCAGGTTCTACAGCTTCTATAAGCTGCACCAAGTTTTGTAATTCTGCATTCAAGCATATTCTACATTTTAAAAACTATTGCCTATTGTTTGGCAAAACCACATAACAAAACATACAAGATGTTAAATCTATTTGACATATGATAACCTATACCATACTAGCACCAGCAAGCCTCGAATCACCAGTTTCCTTCCCTGGAGTCTCTGCCGTAAAGTAACCAGAACTTACTGATACATTCTCTGAGGAACTTGGTGAGGAATCTATATCAATAACGGAGCTTCTATTTACAGGAGACAGAGGTATAGGTCTTGACATATGATTCTGCTTCCCGTCAGATGACTGGAAAGCGATTACTTGAATTCTTCCTACCTGAATACAGTCCAAAGCTATTTCACGTTAAATTTAACGAGACCATAGAATATAAGATGTTTCATAATGATCATGCATTCAAGACAAACCTTGTTTACATCTTCACTGTAACAGGAAAAAATCAACCCAATAAACCCAGAATCAAGAAGTTGATACATTGCCTGAGTCCGCACATCTACAAAATAGTAAATATGCTTGTTATCAACTGTTGCTTTGAATTAAAACAAAAATGGAAGAAGAAAAATAAAAACACTGACATTAAGAGAAGAAAGACGTAACATGAGTCCCTTAAAAGCAAAGGAAAAAACAAAAAGACCAGTAAAAAATCATAGGTTGGGAAATGAAAAAAAGAAGAAAGATGAAATCATTTGGAAAAATTCTTCTCTGTACCCCTCCTACTCCAATTCTATAACATGCTGATATAGACCAACCACTAATTAATAGAGCTAAAAGGAACTAACGCAGGAATTTAGATCTGAATATTCAACCTTCATATATTTAATAGCAAAAGATTACAAACAGAGACACCTTAACAGAAATACTTGCAGGGAATAAGAAATTACATTGACTCTAAAGGAAATCAACAATGCAGAAAACGTAAGATAGTGTGGAACACATATGAGAGGTTCCACTCTCTCCCAATCCCAAAAAGGGCCCAAGCAATTCCCAAAGGTTCCAGATGATCCTCCCCTTTGCTGCTCACCCCTTCTTAACCACTAACATAACTGACTTGCCTCCCTCTCACCTCCATTCTGTTGGAGGGCACTCTTGTCCATAATATCGTTTGAACCATCAGCTAGGCCAACTCCTATATCAACTGAGCCAACTCCTGTATCCGAGGCCCAATTCCTTCTGTTCTTGTCCCTACGGTATACCATCTTGATTGGGTTACTCCCCTCCAATAAAAGCACCTTGTCCTCAAGGTAAAAATTAGGGAATTGATCTTTAATGACAGAAATTCTTCCCACGTATTTTCAAAATCCGGTAGGTTGCACCATTTGATCAAGACCTCCAATTTGCCAACCTTTGGCTGACGCCACTGCACTACTACCTCAGGTTGTACTTGTAGTTCCCAACCTTCTGACAAACTGGGAGGTAAAGGCTAAGCAATGGGCACAGAGGGCGTGGCTGGTTTGAGCAGCGACACGTGAAACACCGGGTGCACCCTACAGGTGTCTGGCAGCTGTAACTGATACGCAGCTTCACCAATTCATTCCAGCACAGGGTAAGGTCCATAGTATCGTGGGCTTAGCTTTTCATTCACCCTTCGAGCAATAGTCTTAAGCCTATAAGGCTGCAATTTGAGATAAACAAAGTCTCCCACATTAAAAAAACAGATCCTGCGCTTCTGATTGGCATGCTTTACCATACGGTTCTAGGCTAGCACTAGATTGTGTTGCAGTTCTTGCAAAATAGAATCACGTTCAACCAAAGCTTGTGACACAGCTTCAATGGCTGAAAAAGAGTTGCTACCCTTAAGAAGAGTGGGAGGGTCTACCCCGTAGAGAACCTTAAATGGTGTCATGCCTGTGGAGTCCTTGTAGGTGGTATTATACCAAAACTCAGCCCAATGGACCCATTTGGGCCATTGCTTCAGCTTAGGCCCACAAAAACAGCGAAGGAAGACCTTCAAACATCTATTCACCACTTCCATTTGGCCGTTTGTTTGTGGATGATATGCAGTGCTGTAGTGAAGTTTGGTACCTGCACACCTGAACATCTCAGTCCAAAAAGAGCTCATAAACAGTCTATCTCTGTCAGACACAATGGTTAAAGGAAAACCGTGTAATCTGACCACCTCTTTGATGAACAACTCAGCCACTCCCTTGGTTGTATAGGGATGGGAAATAGGGAAGAAATGAGCGTACTTGGACAAACGGTCGACCAGTACAAATATTGTATTGAAGCCCATGGCTTCGGGTAAACTGCCAATAAAATCCATGGAAACATCCGCCCACACCTTGGTGGGAATTGGCAGTGGCAGCAGCAAACCCGCGGGGGTTAAATTTTGAATTTTATTCTGTTGACAAACAGCCACATAATCCTTAATACTCTTCTTCATTCCCTCCCAATAGACTAAACCTGCCAACCTCTTATAAGTACGAAAAAACCCAGAATGTCCACCAATACCTGAGTCATGAAATTCCCACAAAAGTAAAGAGATCAAATTGGAGTTTTTGGGCAATACCAACCGATCTTTAAATAGTAACTTGCCATCCCTCAATCTGTAGCTGTCATGGGCAGCAGGGTTCACAATCAAGTCCTGCACAATTTTTCTCAACTTGTCATCTTGCTGCACCTCTGTCTCCAATTGTTCCAAGTCAGGTAGTTGCAGCCTGGACAGACTTGAAAAGGTCATTTGTCGCGACAAAGCATTAGCCACCAAATTCTCCTTCCCTGGTTGATATTGAATGTCGAAATCAAACCCAATTAATTTGGATAGCCACCTTTGCTGCTCCTCTCCAAGTACCTTTTGTTCCAACAGATGTTTTAAACTTTTCTGATCAGTTTTCACAATGAAATGCCTCCCCATTAAATAATGCTTCCACTTTTGAATTGCGAATACTATAGCCATCAGTTCCTTCTCGTAGACTGATTTGTTTTGGGCTCTCGGGGAAAATCCTTGGCAAATATATGCCAAAGGCCTATTTTCTTGCATAAGCACAGCCCCAATTCCTTTGCTGGAAGCATCAATCACCACCATGAAGGTTTTGTTAAAATTTGTCATAGCCAAACCGGAACAGTGCTCATACAGCATTTCAATTTTTTAAACGACACATCCGCTTCTGCATCCTATTTAAAAGCATCTTTTTTCAGCAAGTTGGTGAGAGGCTTAGCTATTTTCCCATAGTCTTTAACAAAACACTTGTAATACCCCGTTAAGCCCAGAAAACCCCTCAGTCCCTTAATGTTTCTGGGAATAGGCCACTCTTCCATAGCTTGCAGCTTACTCGGATCAGCACTAATGCCCTCAGCCGAGATTATATGGCCCAGATACTCCACATAGTCACTTCCGAAACTACATTTTTTTTTTGTTCACTACCAGCTGATGTTGTCGTAGCACTTCAAACACCATTCGCAGATGACCTTCATGTTCAGCCCTGCCCTTACTGTAGATTAATATATCATCCAGGAAAACCAATGCGAACTTTCTCAAGAAAGGCCTTAAAATCTCGTTCAATAGAGCTTGGAAGGTCGAGGGTGCATTGGTTAAACCGAAAGGCATTACCAAATATTCGTAGTGCCCTTCGTGAGTCCTAAATGCGGTTTTTGGTATATCCTCTTCCCTCATCATGATCTGATGGTTACCAGATTTTAAATCCAATTTGGAAAAAATCTTCGACCCTCCTAATTCGTCTAACAGCTCCTCCACCACAGGTATAAGGAACTTGTCCGGAATGGTGAGCTTATTCAAAGCTCTATAATCCACACATGCTCACCAGCTTCCATCTTTTTTTTAAACCAAGATCACAGGACTAGAATAAGGACTAGTGTTGTGTCTTATCCACCCATTTCCCAATAACTCAGACACTACATTTTCAATCTCTGTTTTTTGATAGTGAGGGTACCTGTATGGGCATAAATTGGGTACCTGATTGCCTAGCATGAGGTTAATAGCATGATCACAAGTCCGCCTTAGGGGTAGAGTTCGTGCTTCTTGAAATAAATCTTGATATTCCAGCAATGAAGACTCCAATTCTTCCCGGTTGTTGTTCCCCCTTGCTTCAGAGTTCATTTTTGCACTCAGAACATACCCCTGACCTTGGTCGTACAGAGCCTTCAAGATGGACTTGAACGACACCTCAGCTCGAGACAGGACAGGATCTCCCTTAATGACCACCTCCGTGCCCCCTTGCTCAAAACGGAGAGTCATTTCCTTGAAGTTTACCTTAATGCCCCCAATTTGGGTCAGCCATTCTAGGCCCAACACAACATCAGCCCCTCCCAGCTCAAACAAATAAAGATCTCCCCTAACCTGAGCACCTTGCAGCTTGATCTCTACATCCCTGCACACTCCTTGACATTTGACCTTGTGTCCATCCCCTACCTCCACGTGATACACCGAAGTCTCAGTTACTGCTAAACTGAGCCGTTCCACTATCGCGGCCCTCACGAAATTACTGGAAGCTCAACAATCCACCATTACCTCCACCCTTCGACCGAAAATTTCTCCCCAAGCCTTCAAAGTTTGGTTTGAAGTGAGCCCTAGCAAGCTGTTCATTGAGAGTTGCAGCTCCTCTGTTTCAGGCATTTTTTGTTTCACAGGCAGCCCCTCATCTTCTTCTTTTCCATCTCCTTCTCCCCCGTCGTCTTCATCCACCAACAACAGGTGAAGTTGTCGGATATGGCATCGGTGATTAGGATTCCAACGCTCATTGCACTTAAAACACAAACCTCTGTCTTGATGTTCACGTAACTCTGCTTGTGACAGTCTTCGTCCCTGGCCGGCGACGTTCTCTGTCATAGGAGTCCAAGTGGTTGAAACGGTTGTGTGCGCCGCAGAACCCTCTTTTGCGTTTTCGTTGGATGCGTTTTTTGAGAAAGCTAAACCAGTGTTAGGGTTACTGGTACCCATACTAGGGCTTCGATTTGGGCTGTGTATATTCCTTTGGCCCACCTGTGCATTTCCCCAACTCTTTGATTCAATTGGGCCTGAACCCGAACGTCGGCCCAAATTTCGATTTGGACCCTGACCCCAACTCCTAGCCTTCGATCCCCAACCCTCTTCTCTCCAAGCCATATTCCTCTTTTCAATTTTCAGGGAGAACTTCATCGTCTCCGCTAAGCTCAAATTGGGAAACATCATAAGCTCTTCTCTAATTCTATTTCGCACCCTATTTAGCCATGCACCTTTCAACAGATCTTCATCTTCAAACTGTAATGCTCCTACCATTTTCTCGAAATTCGCACAAAATTCTTCCACACTTCCATTCTGCTTGAGGGTGTACAGAGCTCGGTAGGGGTTATCCAACGCCTCTAGTTGGAAACGACTTAGTACCTCTCGCCGGAACACACCCCAGGTGGCATTTAGGTTGCTCACCTCCCACCAATGGCACCAATGGAGCGCCTCCCCTTCTAAACACACCATCACTGCTGATAGCTTCTCTGCCACGCCGTTCACCACAAAATATCTCTCCACCTTGCACAACCAACCAAAAGCATCTTCGCTTGCAAAAACCGGAATCTCCAAGTGTTTGTTCATCGAACAATTTGGGTTCCTCCTTCCACGATTCCTATCCTCGTGTGAATCTGGTTCATAGTCTTCCAGGTTGTTCTCTCATCTCAGGAATGACTCCGTCTTCTTCCAGCCATCTCGTCCAACCTCCTAAGGATTTCAGTCATTCCTCTTTCGTTAGCCTCCAACCTATGGAGCACTTCTTCGTGTCGAGCTCGAAACTCACTGTATCTAGTGTTACCCCTGCGCAGCCCTTCTTCTAAAGTGTCTATGCGATTCTCCATACTTCTCGTAGTTACCATTCCACAAAGTTCCCAGATCGGAGCTCTGATACCAATTGATACAGACCAACCACTAATTAACAGAGCTAAAAGGAACTAACGTAGGAAAAATGATGTTTCGCTGAAAGAAAAAAATAGGGAACTCTCTGGTTGAAGTTGATTAAATGTATTACTACAACGGGTTAAACAAAAACAACAAGTAAAGAGAAAAAGATTTAAAAAAAAAAAAAGGTTACCCAAAACTTACCAACATGCGAAGGCAGAACTGTAATATGAGGATGTGAATGGTACCAACCAATTACCCTTGTAGTTCTTCCAGTCGATGTGGTCATTCTGTGCTATAAAGTTAATGGCACAACAAACCAACCATTTCCAAATCCAACAAGCAACCAAAGAACAAGTGACCTATAATCCTAAAATAACGAACAACAACGAGTGCCAGGACGAAATAAATAGTGTAAAACTTATTCTTAAGTGAACTTGAATGAATGTTAAATCTGATAAGCACATAACTAACAACAAGAATAAGGATATCTCAGCCAGAGCTGATGCAGCAGCCAACTGTTCAGGGTTAGTTTCGACTCGATCCTTTCGCCGATCAGACCTTGTCTGCGGAGAAGCTCCCCATATCAATGCAGTCACACTCCCATTCTTTGCATGCTGGATCCACAATCAAATAATATCTAAGTAGATTAAACACTCTGACAATCAGAAAAATATATTACATAGAAATAGAGAACAAGTTAACCATATTACAGTAAATAAATCTACTACACGTATAAACAACAAAAGATTGTGAACAGATATATAGTCATAGACAAATATTACTTATATGTACCTAGAACACATTTTCCCCCATTTTTAACTAGGAAAAATGCTGAGACAATATGTGGTTAAGTTAATGTAATGATGTAATTGGGTCCCTTTGGGAATTGATACATTCTAAAGTAAAGGAAAGTAACAATAATCTGTTCTATAATATTGCAAAAAAATAAGAAACAGTGTTTTGTATAAGTAAGAGGTAAGTGGTGAAACATTGAATGATTCGGAACCTGGATATCGCCGAGGAGAAGACCCATAATCTCTTCGGTCTCAGTGGACAATGCATGAGTCACGCAGGTTAACCAAACATCCTCCGACATTTTCACACCCGTCAGAGACATTTTCACCAAAAATTGAAAAATCTGATTCTACAAAACCCTCAAACCCCAATAATCCTCAAACCCTTCTCCTTCCCAAGATGGATCTCTCTCTCTCTCGCGTTCTCCTCTTCTTTTCTTTTTCCTTTTTTTTATTTAATCTTTTCGTTTTTCTCTTTCATTCGTTGGGAACGCCTCAACCTCAACCCAAGAAGAAGAAGAAAAAAATGACTATTCCTCCTAACTTAATTATTACATGTCTTAATTAATATTCCTCCCACTGCTCACTCAGTTATGTCAATTATTTCGAAAATAATAATAATAATTTATAAATCTGATATCTGAAAGGGGTAGGATATTGTAATAACTGATTAGTGTTACTAGTAATGTTACTATCAATCAATTTCACCGTTAGATGGATTATATTGATCCAACGGTTATATTTATTTCCATTTTTATATCGTTATGATTCTCAGATTTCCCATATTTAATGTGAAAACATTAAATATTAGAAATCATAATTATAGAAAGGTAAAAATAATTATGAAGTATTAAATATGAGAAATCATAATCATATAAAGATAAAAATAAATATAACCGTTAGATCAACATAATTAATCTAACGGCGAAATTGATTGGTAATAATATTGGTAGTAACATAATTGTTACAATATCTTTCTCTATCTTAAATCATAAATATGTTTTTTTCTTCCTAGATTTGAATTTGAATTTAGGTGTTTTTTCATTTGAATACGATATTTTTCCTAATCCCATTATTAATTCTTGTTTAAATTGATTCTTAAGGTTGATAGTTTACATTAACTTTATAGCAAAAAGATTCTCCACTTTCGTTAAATTTGTATTTTAAAAACGAATAATTAATACTGTAAATCATAGTTTGTCAGTAGATACTCAATTTTAATACATATGTTAATTGTAATTACATTTAAAGATCACTTTTTACTATTTCACTTTCAACTCAATATTATTAATGAACAATATATTTCAAATTTATAACATAACAAATTTAAAAATGCCATTCATCACGGGTAAAAGTACTATTAATTATTAAAAAATAACGTAAATATTTTTTTTAAAAGTGCATGAATAAATCCAGTTAATAAGATCAAATTAGGCCAAATGCCAATAAAACACCTTCATAATTGAAATAAAACGAGTCTTGTAATAAAATAAAAAATTCGTAACAAGAAAAATAAGTCATCCTCAACGCAAAAGACCATGGATAGAGAGAGAATGGCGCAACATCCACCAAAATGTCATTTTTTTGCAAAATTTTTATCAAAATGGCACGTGAACAGTACCTTTTATTAAATTGTCACGTGATGTAATTTGCTATCAAAATATCACTTTTTGGCAAAAATTGTATCCAAATGCCACGCGAATAGTACTTTTTTCGTTCGCCAATAATTTTGTGATACGTGACACACTTTCGCAGGAAAAAATTGACTAGATTAAATTTGCTACCTCTAGTGGCGAATTTGGTATGCAATATGGTAACGTGTCACGAAATAATTGTCACGAAATTCGCTACCAGAGGTAGCGAATTATGACACATACTAGTCTAGTAAAAAATATTATTCGCGTGGCATTTGGGTAAAAAATTTACCAAAAAATGACATTTTAGTCACTGTTCGGAAAATGGCGCTTTCCTTCTCAATCTCCAAGCACTGTTTTTTGGAGGACTCTTCAAATATTGTTTTTTGAAATTAACCCAACCTTAATTACCTTTTTGAAACGAGTTGACTCCTCCTCAATATCCACACAAACTTTGATTCTTTGAGCCGGTTATGAGACTAATCTGAAATGTGAAGTGAGTCAGGAATAAAGATACTTAAGCCCCTCTCAAAAATGGCATGTGAGAATTAAACCGATGTCATTTTTTTTTTCACTTACTCAATTTTTTTACTATTGAGTTATTACAATTTCGTAAGATTCTTCAATTATGCATCATCCTTGGATAAGCTCCCAACAAATTTTCTATGGCCTAATTATAGTTATTTCCTTTACTTTTATGGTCACGTCTGTTGGAAATCGACAATCACACAGAATCGAGAAAACAAAAAAAGAGATAAGAGTAGAGAGATTGACACGATGATTTACCCTGGTTCACCCAATATAGGCTACGTCCAGCTTGTCTGTACTATATTCACCTCACCGCCACTCGTTACTAGTCTCTCGGTTTACCCTGGTTCACCCAATCCCAAAGCATCTGTACACCATTCAAACTTCTCCGAAGTCACTGCCTTGGTCAGAAAATCAGCATTGTTGACCTTTGTGTCAACCTTCTCCAGCAATACAACCTTGTCTTCAATCTTCTCTCTGATGAAGTGGTACTGTATGCCGATATGCTTGGTGCTCGCATGGAGACCTGGGTTCTTAGCCAAGAAAATGGCGCTCTGACTGTCACACCCAACGATCATCTCTCCTTGTGCAAAGCCAAGCTCTTTGCACAACCTCCGTAACCAAATAGCTTCCTTAACAGCATGTGTCAAGGCCATGTACTCAGCCTCTGTAGAAGATAAAGCAACAGTGCTCTGCCTCTTACTCATCCAACTGATAGCTCCGCCAAATGAAGAAACAACATATCCACTTGTAGATCTTCTACTATCAATGTCACCTCCTCAACCAGCATCCACAAAGCATCTCAGCTCTAACAATGTCTGTCCCCTTGAGCCCTTCACGCCTTCATAGCATAACCCAAGGTCAGACGTACCACGAAGATAGCGGAACATACGCTTCACAGCCGTCCAATGCTCATTTCCTGGCTTGGACATATACCTGTTCAATACTCCCACTGCTTGAGCAATATCAGGTCGAGTACAAATCATGGCATACATCAGACTCCCTACTGCACTAGCATAAGGAACTGACGCCATCTCTTCTTTTTCTTCTTCAGTCTTGGGACACTGGTCAGCCGATAACTTAGAACCAGTAGACATGGGAGTCAACACAGGCTTGCAGTCAGTCATCTTGAATTTCTTCAGAACATCTTCTATGTACTTCTGCTGACTTAACCATAATCTTCGTTTGTCACGCTCCCTCTTAATCTGCATACCCAAGATCACATTTGCAGCGCCTAGATCTTTCATTTCAAACTGCTTTGCTAGCAGTCCTTTAACAGTGATGATCATTTTCAAACTGTTTCCAACGAGTAACATGTCGTCAACATACAAAGTTAGAATAACAAAGTCACCTTCTAACCTTTTCACATAAACACAGTGATCAGCATCACAACGGTCAAAGCCAAGCTTCAGCACATAAGTGTCGAACTTCATGTACCATCCTTGGGGACTGCTTCAGGCCATACAGAGATTTATTCAGCTTGCAGACTAGCTCCTCTTTGCCTCTTGCAATGAACCCCTCTGGTTGCTTCATGAAAATAACCTCCTCCAAATCACCATGAAGAAAAGCTGTCTTCACATCCAGCTGCTCCACCTCTAGGTCATATGCAGCTGCTACAGACAAAACCAGTCTTATGGAATTTAACTTTGCAACAGGTGAAAATACCTCGCCATAATCAACCCCTTCTGTCTGTGAATATCCCTTTGCAACCAATCGAGCCTTGTAGCGTTCAATCTCCCCATTGGCACCAACCTTCTTCTTGAACACCCACTTGCAACCAATTGCTATTCGGTCTGCAGGTAGATTCACCAAACTCCAAGTTTGGTTTTTCATCAGAGACTTCATCTCTTCTTTAATAGCTTCCTCCCACTGTTTGGCATCCTCTGAGCTCCTCGCATGTTTTACAGTGCTCGGATCATCACCTGTAATACTAAATGCACAAACATCATCACTAGCACACATGATATAATTTTCAGGTGTATACCTCTCAGATGGTCTTCTTTCCCTCGTGGATCTCCTCAGCACTGGTGCTTCAACCTCAGCCTCAGTTTCAGAAAATTCATCCTCTACCTCATTATATTCAGCAGCTTCAGAATTCAAATTTTCCAATTCAACCTGTGAGTTTATTGTATCCTCTTTCAAACCCACATCCAACTCCACTGTCTGTGACTTTTCAGGAGCTTCAGGAAAAATCTGATTCAACTTAGATTCTCTGAATACAACGTCTCTGCTGTAAGTTACACTTCTAGTATCCGGATTCCACAACTTATAACCTTTGACGCCATCCTTGTACCCAATAAAGATACACTTTTCAGATTTACTGTCAAGCTTGTTTCTTTTCTCCTTGGGTACGTGCATATAAGCTTCACAGCCAAACACTCTAATATGAGATACGTCTGGCCTTTTTTTAAACAGTGCTTCATACAGAGTCTTCTCCTTCAAAGCTGATGTAGGAGATCTGTTCTTCAGATAACAAGCAGTAGCCACTGCCTCTGCCCAAAACTCAGTTGCCAAGCCTGCACCGCTCAGCATACTCCGTGCTTTCTCCATGAGAGATCGATTCAACCTCTCTGCCACCCCATTCTGTTGAGGTGAGTAGGGCGTAGTCTTCTGTCTTACAATCCCATTGCTCGCACAAAACTGGTCAAATTTTGTTGAACAGAACTCCCCTCCATTGTCAGTTCTCAGCACCTTGATTTTTTGATCAAATTGATTTTCCACCAAAGCCTTGAACTCGCAGAATTTATCGAACACTTCATCCTTGCTGCGCAAGAAATATAACCACACATATCTTGAAAAATCATCAGTAAAAGAAACATAATACCTTGATTTTCCATGTGATGCTACAGGTGTGGGGCCAAACACGTCGCTGTGTATCAAGTCCAGAACCCCCTCAGCTCTTCCTCCTATGGAATCAAAAGATACCCGATTTTGCTTCCCTTGCAGGCAATGCTCGCAAAATCCAAACCCCATAGAGCAGCTCGAAATTCCATCCACCAACTTCTTTGATGTTAGAGTCTCCAGACCTTTTCCTCCAATATGCCCCAGCCTCCTATGCCATAACATAGCAGTGTCCTCCTCCGCCTGTTCTGAAACATAGCTTTCACCACTGAATACTGTGCTACCCAGCAGTTTCCACAATTTACCATGACGCTCTCCTCTTGCAATAACCAAAGCTCCTCGAGTCAGCTTGCAAGAATACTTGTCACTGCTAAAATTAATACCAGCATCTGCCATACTACCAACGGAGATCAGATTTCTGGTAAGCCCCGGAATATGCATCACACACGGCAGATTCTTGACTGTCCCGTCACTCATCTTCAGCTTTACCTTCCCACGCCCCACAATTGCATGAGTCGTGTCAT